ATGTCACGTGGCCGCTGATAAGACATGCCCTCCCCTCAGCTCCAGATTCCCCAGGACATTCAGCCAGTGCAGCCAGGTCGACCTAGAGACCTTTGTGAAGGAGTCCCAGCCTGCCTGCCTGATCAACACCCCCAACCCTGACCGGCTGGTGGGCGGCCCCGTGTGTGGAAACCAGTTTGTGGAGCGTGGGGAGCAGTGTGACTGTGGCCCTCCCGAGGTGCGCCTGTGCCCCACCACCTGCCCTCTGCTTCCCATCAGTGTGGGGTGCTGTAATCTCTGTCCCTCCCTGTTCGGGAGACAACCCCCAACCAAGTGCCCTGTGCACTCACAGCCATACGTGGCTCTCAGGGCTCCAGAAGATGTTTTCCATTTTCCTTTGACCCTGACACCTCAAAGGGGAGTTGAAGGACAGTGACCACGTGGCCTCCCCAGTGGTCCAGGAGGTGGGGTCTACCTGGAGCCCAGGGCTGGCCCCAGTGTGCAGCTTGCTCAAGTAGTCACCACTCACTCCCTCAGAGCTGCCAGAACCACTGCTGCAATGCCACCACCTGCCAGCTGGCTGAGGGGGCCGAGTGTGCCCGTGGGACCTGCTGCCATGAGTGCAAGGTATGCAAACCCCTCTCACCCCTGGAGCCCCTACCCCAGCTGAGCCCAAGCTTAGCAGATGGGAAGGGGCCCTGGGCCCAAAGCAACATGCACGGGCCTGTACAGGGGGCCTTGGTTCCCAGGGTGAGCTTCTCTCTGCTGGGCTAGGTGAAGCCAGCAGGTGAGCTGTGCCGCCCCCTGAAAGCCATGTGTGACCTCGAGGAGTTCTGTGATGGACAGCAGCCGGAATGCCCAGAAGATGCCTTCCAGGAGAATGGCACACCCTGCCCTGGGGGCTACTGCTATAATGGGAACTGCCCCACACTGACCCAGCGGTGCCAGGACTTATGGGGGTCAGGTGAGGCGGCCTGAGTGCTGGTGTAGGGACTAGCATGTCAGGTGGCAACAGGCTAACCTGCTCTTGCCTGTAGGTGCACGGGCCGCTGTGGAGAACTGCTTTGCCCACAGGATCTCACTAGGCTGTCAAGGTGGGATCTCTCCAGGAATGAGCAGGTGTGTATCCATGACTGGACTCTTGGGCCCAAGACATGGGGTGTCCACACAGGTGGAGTCACTCCCAGAGGCTTTTTCCCACGAAGGGGTCCCGTTGTGCCAAAGCGGGCAGCTCTCTGGCGGGACCCCTCACTTGAGCATGCTGTCCTGGTTGTAGGGAGGGTGGGCCCCTAGCTTGTTCCATTAGCTTTGGGAACACTGTCTGCCCTCTGCAGGGTTGACAGATGTGGCATCCTGTACTGCGAGGGGGGAAAGAAGCCCTTGACACGGAGGTCCTGCACCCTCACGTCCCACTCAGGTGCATGCCAAGCTCTTGCCACAGAAGAGGACACTGCCTATGAGTCAGTGCCCCAGGGCACCAAGTGTGGTGAGAAGAAGGTGAGCGCTAGTCGTCACCCTGCAGAGCTGGGCGAGGGGGAGGGGCTTCAGGGAGCCTAGACATGCCCAGTCTATGCTCAGAGAGGCCGTGCCACCCCAGGGGTCCCGAGGACGTGTCCCACACAGCCTCTCCACAGACACTGTCCAAACTCAGTGACGGCTGGCAGAAGCTGTGCAGAATCTGCTGTCCTTTAGGGGAACCTGAGAAGGTCAATGGGAGGCAGAAAAGCCTGTTCTCAGTTAATAGTTTGAAGACTATTCTGTAGTTGCCACATCCCCACGAGATGCCCAAAGGACTCCCAGGGTCTGTGGGTGGGTCAGCAAGGAAATGTGCAATGCTGGACGTGGTGACCAAGATCTCCACCTCTACCCACTGTACCTGCTGAGCTTACCCTGAGGGTCCCACGAAGGGGTCCCGTTGTGCCAAAGCGGGCAGCTCTCTGGCGGGACCCCTCACTTGAGCATGCTGTCCTGGTTGTAGGGAGGGTGGGCCCCTAGCTTGTTCCATTAGCTTTGGGAACACTGTCTGCCCTCTGCAGGGTTGACAGATGTGGCATCCTGTACTGCGAGGGGGGAAAGAAGCCCTTGACACGGAGGTCCTGCACCCTCACGTCCCACTCGGGTGCATGCCAAGCTCTTGCCACAGAAGAGGACACTGCCTATGAGTCAGTGCCCCAGGGCACCAAGTGTGGTGAGAAGAAGGTGAGCGCTAGTCGTCACCCTGCAGAGCTGGGCGAGGGGGAGGGGCTTCAGGGAGCCTAGACATGCCCAGTCTATGCTCAGAGAGGCCGTGCCACCCCAGGGGTCCCGAGGACGTGTCCCACACAGCCTCTCCACAGACACTGTCCAAACTCAGTGACGGCTGGCAGAAGCTGTGCAGAATCTGCTGTCCTTTAGGGGAACCTGAGAAGGTCAATGGGAGGCAGAAAAGCCTGTTCTCAGTTAATAGTTTGAAGACTATTCTGTAGTTGCCACATCCCCACGAGATGCCCAAAGGACTCCCAGGGTCTGTGGGTGGGTCAGCAAGGAAATGTGCAATGCTGGACGTGGTGACCAAGATCTCCACCTCTACCCACTGTACCTGCTGAGCTTACCCTGAGGGTCTCAGGGGAAAGCGGGGCAGGAGGTCCCAACCATCTTCCTAAGAGACCCCCTCCCCACTTCTTCCAGGTTTGCTGGGAAGGACACTGCCAAGACCTCCAAGTTTATAGATCCAGAAACTGTTCTGCTCAGTGCCACAACCACGGGGTATGTGTCCTCACAAGATAGCACGCCCCCTGCCTATTGCCCACTTGGTCACAGAGTTCTTGGTGGTGACAATTCCAATGTAGGAGCCAGAGGCTTGGATAAGTCCCACCTGTCCTGTCACTGGGGTTCTCAGTGGAGCCCATCTAAGGGCTAAGGCCAGGCAGGGTGACCTCAGTAGATGGCACCTATGCAGTCACTGGAATGAGGTCTTTTGATGAGGCTGCAGGATCAGCACATGTGGGTGAGATTCTGGGGGGTCCTTTGCATGGGACTGCAGGCTGCTCTCCGGGGTCCCTGTTCTTGAGGTTTGTGTGTCTCTCCAGGTGTGCATTCACAAG